ATATCATCACCCGAGCAAGGCCCGGTGATTTTTACCTTTTCATAATTTTTATTTTTATTTTTATTTTCTAACTCTCTCAATTATTTGTTTGTGTGCTACATATTCATGTATCGCTAAGACGAAAAACACTCTCACTCTTTCATCCCTAATCTACATGCCTGCAACCACAATTATTGATTTTAACTTAAAGTAAAACATCTTCTTGCATTATATCGACATATTCTTGACTTATTAGGAGAGATTAATGAATAGAGAACAATAAGTTTTACAAGTTCATGAGAATGGACAAAGGAGATTAAGATATGTAGTGGGGTGACTTCATGATTTTGTCTGGAGTGGGTAGTTGAGAGCCGAAGAGAAGATATCTAAGAAGTTAGAAAAAAGGTGGAGAGGTTAGACAATAGATTTGGCCAAAAAACATATGTGTCCAATGTAAGGAAAGGGAGAATTTTTTTTCACAAAGTTAAAAAGTGGAAGATTACAAGTTGCGCACTAATAATATTATCTCTTTTTCAATTTGCAATTGATAGAGAGTCACTGCATGAGGCTATAATTTATCTCCTCATTGTCTTTGTAAAACTCATTTTTCACTTCAAAATACAATAATATTTCGAAATGCAGTAACTCATTTTCAATAGAATTAATGTAAAAAATAGAATATACTGTGTATATTCATTCTCATATTTTATTTTATATTTATTTTTAAACATATAATTATATAAATAAATTATTAATATTAAAAATTCACACTTAAAACACTGAAATTAATAATTTAATTTTAGGATAAAAAAGATTAGAGTGGGTGAACAGTGAGATGCCAATATTGAAGTAGCACTCTTCACTCCCGAAATTAAGCGGAATTTCTGGCGTTCGGTTGAAGCTTTTGGCGGACGATATGCAGGCGTTTCAGGTTTTGTTGCAGATGGTCTTATGAAGATAATAATGTTGGGAGATGGACGATTAACATTAGATAAGGTAGACAAAGGCTTCGTTTAGGACAGATTTCTTAGTATTTTTTAAAATATTTTTTCAGTTAAAAAATTTTATACTAAAAAGTTTTTTTAGAAAATAATATAAAAGTTATTCCAAACAAAATCAAAATAGTATAGATTAAATAATCTTCAATCGTAGTTAAACATGTGATTAATATAAGTAATATACTTTTTTTTGATATAACATTACATTCCACAAGAGAATAAGGATATTTTTATTGAAATTGTTTTCTTTGAATTTAGGTTTTGCTCTGACAATTTTCTTACAACTTTATAAAAATGTTGTAGAGAAAGTAACATTCAAAGTAACTTTTGAAAATCATTATAGAAAATAGTTTCTAATATATTTTTTTTTTAAATTAATGAAAAATTAGCGTTCAAATATAAATTGTGATCTTAGCCTACAAAACAACACAATAAGAAAGTTGTTACAAATAAAGCCTTTCTTAATTATGAAATTATTGTAAAGAAATAATATTTAAAAAATTCATTATTGACTTTATTTTGTGTTGAATAAATTTTTTTTTGGAGTCATTTAGGCCAATTAAGACAAACTCACACACAAATCACATATTTAAGACTCTTACTCAAGATCTCCTAATTGGGAGAAATTATTTTGTGCGAAGACCAGACACAGAATGATATCATGAGACCAACCAGAATGCACCACATCAGTGGTACCGAGCACAGGGTGACATGGTGCATTCTGGTTGTTCTCCTGACGGCTTTCCTCGTCCGCACAAAATAAAATTTTCTTAATTAGTGATCAAAGCTCTCAACCAAGAGACCAAGATGAGCTCAGTAATAATTTAACGGCTAGTCGCACATTTGATATTTGACCTGACTTAAAAAAACTTGAATCAGGATATATTTTAAAATTTTCAATTTTATTATAAAATTAGTACAACATATAAATATTCAATCGGTTTTTATCTTATTTTTATTTTAAAATAAATCTAAAATTTTTAAGCTTATCCTAAATATAATTTAATGATTTTTTGTTAACATCATATGGGCAGGATTAAAGGCTCAGCCTTTGAGCAGGAACAGGTCACAGAAGAAGTTGCGTGTGTAGCAAACTAGTGGAAAAATACCAAATTTGAGTGAGGAGCACTATGGATAAATGACTCATGAGTCAAACCGGATGAGCTAACAAGTAAAATTTGAGCTAATTCTATGTCGACTCATTAACTTCTCTGTCAGCTTAAGAAAATAGTATTGTAAAATATACTTAAAATACAATAAAACTCAATAAATTTAGTAGAAAGTTATTACAAATATTTAGATCTATTTTTTTTAATTCTAAGTCATTTTTTAGTATTTTTTATTTTATTTCATGTTATTATTATAATAGGGATTATAGAAAATATGTGTCAACAGAAGGACTACTCTACCAAACATTAGAGCTAAATCTTATCAGTATTCTAAAGATTGTGGTGATTTCTGATGATGATTATTGATGACAATGGTGTCTGTTGACGACAATAATTGGTGGTAGTCGGTGGCGGTGATAGTTGAAAAATACAAGAGAGTTCTTTCTAATTCTCTCTCTTTTTCACCCCCTTCATATGTAGAATGGCTCTATTTACATGCTTTTTTGGATTGTCATTTTAGCAATTTGAGCAAGAATCTAAAACACTCTTATCTTATGATTCATATCAATTCTCTTAATTATGAAATATTCTTTCAACATTTAAGTGCCTTAATTATGTCGGAATTGAATAATATTGGGCTCGGTGGATTCGTCTCATCGAGAAGCTCGATTTTACTATAAGCATGTCTAATTTGGAGATTATTTGGTCATCCAATTAATGTTTGAAGTTTTCTATCATGTTTCAAGCATTTGATTTGGGCTCGGATTGGACCATCTTTGTTATCATTGGCTTCGTCTCTTTGAGACATTCAATTTGACTATGAACTTGCTAAAATTGAAGTTCATGTAAATTTGAATTTGATTGCAAAAGTTTTCAATTAAAATTTTGCCTCGAAATTCATGTCAAATCATGTGATTTTTTTTTAGATATATCAAGTCTCAAGATGAGGGCCTTGATGATACTTCCACCATTAATGCAAGCAATGCCCAACACCCATATACCTTAACATACTGTATTTTTCATTAGAATCACAAGCATGATATGAAAGAATGTCACCAACTCTCATGCTTGATTGGAAAATTGATTATACAAAATAGAAAGAGATCGTCCTTGCTAACTTAGGACAACAATCAAATAAGTCATATGCGGAAGAAAAAGTATAATGAGCCTATTCTAGCACATCCCATATACATCATAGAGGTAGCATAATGAGCCTATTATAGCACATACCATACACATGACAGAGGTAGCTGCATTCGTACTCAGAGAAGTTAAGACTGTCATACTCCTTTCATCTTTTCTCTTATATTTGAGGAATTTTCATCTGTCGAGTATTATTGGCATAACCAACTGATAGTCACTTCTTCGATTTCAAAGAGAAAGAACTAAATGAGTGGAAAAATTCTAACTAAGGTATTGGAACTTGTTTGAACTCCTTGAAAAGCTACAAATCCAAGTATCACTACAAGAAAAGAAAAGTAAGAAAAGCAAGTAACAAAATATTATGATGCTAATATTCATAACAAGCATTTGCACCTAACCAAAAAACAGTCTGTTTTGAAAAATGGCCCAAAAAACAGAAAGTGAGAAGCCCATTCTTAATAGCAAGTCTTAAAGATGAATAGCCCAAGAAGATGAAAGCTCTAAAAAAAGATTATTTGTGATGACAGAATGTTCATTATTTTTTTTTCTAACCATAATTATAATTTCATTTCCATTTGACTATTGATTTCTCATTACTTCCTAAAAATTCTTGCTGTAGAAAACTACTTTTTACAATTAAAATTACTAATATTGTTTGGTAGGTTTAAGAAAACAATTGTTCAAAAATTTTTTTTTAAGAAAGAATATATTTATAATATTCACAGCAGCTTTCAAAAAAAAATTTATTTTTCTCATAATTTCTTCACAAATAATTTTATTAAACGTTGTAGTTGTCTGAAAAAAACCTTAGGTTTTGCTATAATTTTATTCTACAAGTCATTGATGTCCAAGGACTTTACATAATCTAATTCTTTCTCTTATTTGCTATATGAACAATTTTTTTTTATTTTTTTCTTGCTATATGAAAAGTAAATTGTCAGCTAGAGACTTGCCTGCACTATTAGAACAGAAATAAATCAACTAAATTAACTTGTATTTCTTGCTGTCCTATAAGGGCCTGACACGTGTATTAACATGATGTATTCTCTATATATACTTCACCTATATATCTGCTGGACAACACATTAATACAATTCTTGTCTCTATCATCTCTGTTCTATGAACTTTTATTTGGTCCGGTGACCGGATGCAAAGGAACATCCGGTCGTAGGCAAAATCTCGCCTATACTAAGGTGTACCGAGTTTTTTGAGGTATAGGCGGAATTTTTCCTACGACTGGATGTTCCTCTACATCCGGTCGGAGGACATAATAATTGTTCATGTTCGAGCAATTATTACGTACTCCGACCGGACGTAGAGGAATGTCCGGTCGAAGGCCAAATCACGCCAAAAAACGAGAAATACCGAGCAATACCAAACAATAACAAGGAATACCATCATGTGAAGACCTGATACTGAGTTATACCGAGCAATACCGAGTTATATAAAAGTTGTACTGAGTTTTTCCTAGAAAAAACTCGGTACAACTCAGTATAGCTCGATATAACTCAGTATTGGTCTTCACAGAGCGGTATTCCTCGTTATTACCAAATAATACCTAGCAATACCGAGCAAATACCGAGTTTTTTGGCGGGATTTTACCTCCGACCGGACGTTCCTCTACGTCCTTACACCGGACCTAATAAAAGTTCAATTTTGAGAGGGCTTGCTTGCTGCTTTTTAAAGCAAATGAAGCCCAATTTTCCTTAGCACGAGGTACAATACCATGAAAACAAGGCTAATTTTGATGAGGAGAACAATCCGACGAAGCTGACATTCTACTTAACTCATTGTGCATTCATAAGCAGTATGAAATTCCATGAATAACTGAAGGAAGCTTTGGCTACCTCAACCCACTAACAGATGAACGTGCTCACCATAGGCCTAAAATCTAGCAGGAAAGAAACAAAAGCTGTGTGTGTTCCATAAAAAATATATACAGCTTATTACTATGAACATCAGAAAATTAAAAAATGTATTTAATAAATAATTAAAAAAAAAACCAAAAAAAAAAAAAACCATATTTCCCTTTTTTTGGGTGCGATATTTCTTTTCATCTAGTAGAACATAGCTGCTTGTAGCATTTGGCTCTTTCCTGTAACCTACTTCTCTCACGAGGCTGATCTCCAGGTATCTTGATTTCTCTGCTAAGTCTCCATGCAAATAATTACATAAAACAATTCTGAGTTGATGAGACTGACCATTTGTGTGATTTGTGGGGCAGATTCTCTTTTGGTGATTTGAATTTCTGAACTCTACCACTTGGCCCACAGTCCAGGGTTCGTTTGAGATGACTTTCTTATTGCTTTTAAAGCAGCTTTTTAGTATAAAAATTACTAAAAACTACTTTAAGAAGCACTTAGAAAGCCGTCCCAAACGGAGCCTTAGCTCATATCACAAACTTCTCATGCAGCTGCAGACCATTAAACAAGATTTCTAAAGATGTTCCAGCGAGAGCTAAGTCTGCAAATGGTGAAATGCAATTCCTGAGATCCATTATGTCAAATCTAGGCTGCAGGAGGCAATGCCAAAACTGGTAAAGCTAAGTAAGACGATCCTTTAATTTCTTCAAGAATTTGAGTGTCTCAGCGTATGATGGATCGGTTCGATTGACAGGTTTGCATGAGTTGATATGATCCGTTGCATCCAACACCTGTGGTAGCGTCACATAAAAGACAAATTACTGATGGATTTCCAATGAACATTCCGTCAATTAGTGTTGCTGAAATTCCGTCATTATTAATAACTGTCAGAATTTTGATAAACATTAGTAGATTATGCAAAGTTACTGACAGTTTTCCCCAAAACAAATTTACTCACTACTAGAAAACAAAAAGCATTGGAAAACCATAAATTTTATGCCTGGTATCTTCGAATCTGTGCGGTTTTAATTAAATAAAAAATAATATGGACATTGAAAAATAAAGCAGTAGTACAATGAATGTCTTAAAACAGTATTTTACAAGATACTTTGTAATTTGGTTCATTCTTACATTGTGAAAATTTGCACAGAGGAAGTTTAGTTGCCTACCGTTATAGAACAATGAGCAATTCTGATATGTGCCAAATTTTGCTTTAACTATTACAATGTGATGAAATATATGCTAATATAATTAAAAAACATATGTTGGGAGCTATAAGGGTTAGAATCCTTTGAGATTATGTCTATGTTAGAGAATATTTTGGTGTCTATAATATATGTTCTGGTGTTATAAGCACAAAATAGAGACATAAGGGGCCAGAATCCTTTGAGATTTTATCTGAGATCATAATATGTGATAAGAACTGCCTTGTGATATAAACTGTTCTATAATTTATTTGCTCAATATGGTTATCTATTCAGTATTGTTATTTAAATAAATTGGATAATTGCTATGCTTTTATTTTCCTTCTCACTATATAGAATAATTTTTAGATTGCATTCAAATGCTTCTAAATATTCAACAAAATATTTAATAAAAAGAATTTAAAAATTTAGGTTGGTTTGTGTGGCCTGCTGAACTGTTATAGTTCACTGTGATTTTGTTTATAATTTTTAAGATCTTGGAAGGGGAATGAGATTGTCAATTAGCAGTTCATGATCAGATATAAGTTTATAGGTATTTTTCTATTTTGATTTTTGTATAATAATGGCTTGTTTATTATTTAGTTTAGTTATGTAGCTTCTGTATATAGTTGCTGCAATATAAATATATTTTGATGAAATGAAAGAAATCTTATTGATGAGTTTATTTTCAGTAAGTAGATGTTTAGTAACTTTGTAGCTTGTAGTTTATTTAAAATGATTGGAAGAGAATCTTAAACATTTAAAAACTAGATCTTGATATTTGTTTGTCACAACTTCAACATGATAGGACTTATCCTGATCGGGTTGGGTTATGACACATGTGGATTTGGAGATCGTGTGTGCTATGCTGGATCGAAGGGGAGCTAAATACTCCTGTGTGGAGTTCTTCAATGATCTCCTGCTTTTATGCAACAACGCCATCATCTTCTTTCGTAAGGACTTGTCGAAACAGCTGCTCCATCCAACAATCCAACATGACACCAAAGAATAGGAACGTCGCTTCTTGATTGTTTGAGGAATTCATCTACGGGAACACTTCTAACCTCGTCGAAAAGCTATGGTGGTGGATTCAGTGGTAATCCGCAGATGAGGGGTTTGGCCTTGCAATTGATTGAGAGTATTTTGGCAAGGTGCTATTAGAAAATGAGAGCGCATTGTCCCTCTTGCACTTGATTTGTTGATGAGGGCTATTTTTATGTCCCATTTGCTCGAGTGAAGGCTACAGAGATAATAGAAGCACTTTATCCTACCTTGAAGGAGCTGATGTTTGTTGGTTCTCTAAGTTCTCACTACTAGCCTTTATTGCCAGAATTACGAAGAATACAAGTTCTCACCATCAATCTTAATTACCGGTATTTTGAGGAATATAGGTTCCCACCACTAGCCTCATTACCAGAATTCTAAGGAATAATGGTCCTTTTGCTTCCTTTATATGTCCAAGACCGAGGAGAGATCGAACAGGAGGGCTCCTCTTGCGTGCATATGGGGCGGAACCGAGCAGAGCCGAGTGAAAGCCTCCTGTGTGCATCTGGAAAGAGCTGAGAGTTCCCTCTCGTGCAGGTCTAGGTCGGGACAAGCAAGAGTGCAAGACCTACACTCCTTCATGCGATCATACCAGAGGGATTAGAAGCCTTACATGCGCCTGTGCAGGGTCGATCAAACAGGAGTGTTCAGGTGAAGTCGAATGACAAGTTTGCATTGGGTTGAAGGATGGCTTGATCTGACGGGAGGAGATTTGCGTGCCAAATGCTGAGCCACCTGAGTTGTGTTTTTCTGTTGCTGTCCTTGAAGTTTGTCGCAACCCTAAAAATAGATTTTTTTCCTATTGTCGTGCCTTTATTGCTGGCCTTCCCTTGTAGTTCTATCATATTTATAACCAATGCAGCTTTCATTGATGCCCAACTTAATATAGTCTTCATTGCTATCCTTTGTCACTGCAATGTCTGAAGCTAATTTCTCCCAAAGATTTGAAAATAGAGGACTCTATGATGCACCGAGGGATTTGATAACTCTACTTTTTTGGGACTTATTACAAAGCTGGGAATGACAGATTTGTATTCTATAGCTTGAGAGGGAGCATTAAATCTCAGCCGTCCCTTGACACTTGATCCAACGGCCAGGATGGGAATATGTGGGAGGCTCACCTAAATCACACCGATCTCCTTCCATATTCGGGTAGCTAATCTAGGAAGGGTTATATTAGGGCAATTATACATGATTCCGTATTTATTGTTTCTTTACCATAATATATTGTATAGATTTATAAATAGGGATCATTTTGTATAATGAAAGAAAACTTTTTCCCTCTCCAATTCTCTAAATTTAATAGTGGCCAAGTATGTTTCTAATTTGTTGCTAAATCATTAAATATAGCACTTACAACTAGTTCACCAAACCCAGGGTAGGCAGATTCCATTGGTACAATTTCCAACCGAAAGGCCCATCCACCATAACCTTCAACAATTGGAGTAACTTGGGTCTGCGAAAGTGCTTCAAGATTAATCAGCTCCAAAAAAAAGAAGAAAAAACACAAGTATCAAACCAGGTAAATGTCTTTACCTCACTGAAACTAAGAACCTCAAGATATCCTTTGTTGTGAAGATGGCGAATAAAGTCATTCAGCTCTACCAGCTTTGGAGATCCACTTCTAAGTTCTCCAATCTAGAGGACAGGAAAAATATTTACAGCAGATAATAAAACAAGCGGATTCACTGGATATCCTAGCCTCTAAATTAGGTCCTAAAAAATATCTTACCGTGGGTGCTGGACGCAGTATTAGGCCCATACGCCAAGGCATGTCTGCAAGTTTGCTACCAAAATGTGGGCAGCTATAGAAGATCTGAAATAAAGATGCAAAAATTATAAGAATTTGATTGGGCCGGTCTAGAAAGAGTTGTTTCAGAGGCATACTATTCCAACAGTGTTATCAAGAAACTTATTGAGTTTATTCAGTTTGGCTTGATAGAGCATCTGCTTCACAACAAGGCCTCCCATGCTGCAATATTCAACCCATGCAGTTAGAATTACAAAGAGCTCCGTTAGTTTCAAGAATAAAATAAGTGGACAAAATGCACATGGTTCCAGTAAATGTAAGATGTCAACCTCGCGCCCAAATAAATTAGAAAGGAACATAAAAAAGGAAAAAAAATTTACAAAATACAAATGTCCTGGATGAATTTCACAGGAAACGTTTTTTACAAAACATAACTTCATACATACCATTTATGAAAAAGCTAGAAAAAAACAAAGAAAGACACCGATATACAATTATAAGAATCCCAAACAACATTGTCAGCTATGATGCACCGGCAGTTCTTCTCAAAGAGCGGTGCAGTGTCCAATACGTATCCGACACGACAACCGTCCGACACTCCTTCGACACGTGTTAGATACGCCGAAAATATGTCCGATTAAAAAAAATTAAATACAAATTGGGCATGCGTGTCCGACACTCGTATCTTAAATATTTTATGAATTTTTTTTTAAATATAATTTCTTGTATTAAACTTTTTACTTATTTAAAATATAAAAACTAAATTTTTTATTTCCTATCCACAACACCAAATCAATCACCCGCACTTAATGCCCCATTCATCGAATATTCTCATTTTCATTTCTCTTAGGCGGGTTACAACTTTAATTTCATAACAATGTCCAATTTCATCTCAACATCGTCATCTGATGTCGTTACAACATTAACATTCCAAAATAATCTCCATATCAAAGTCCGACGTTCTCATTACATTGATGACTGATGCTAGCAAGTTCTACACCCACAACTTGACATCTCATCTTTGTTCAACACATTCTCAACATTGGCGACCAACACCCTCTCAACAGCAACGATAAACATCCTCTTAACATTGACGTTCAATATCAATCATTGAGAGAGGAGATGATAATGCTATCGAAAGTCTGACATTGAAGATTTGGCCAAGGGAATCCCAATAAAATCATGATTAGGGTTAGCAATTGGAACCATCGGTGGGGTTTTGGATCGCATCTTCATGAGCTTTCTCATCATCTCCTCCAGAATTTCCTTTCTCTTTGGTTCAACCTGAGGAATAACTGATGAAGCCTTCGACTGCATCTCGATCATCTTTTTCATAATATCGACCAATTTCTCAAAGCGGTTCTCAATAGATGAGAGCCTTCATTCCATGATCAAATATTTTTTCTTCCATGCCTGCCCTGAGTTGTTCCATCTCACTTTCCAACGCATTCATCTTCTTTGATGTCATTAACAAATCTAGGTTCCACACCTCGCAAAATACCAAAAAAATCAGTGAATCTAGTCACCAAACAACGAAAATCAGCAATATGGGAAAAAAAATGCAGCAGAAATAAGCGATGAGGATTTAAATTTCAGCCCAGGACACCACTCTAATACCAATTTGATAAGAACTGGATATAATTTTCTCGAAATCAGTGAACAAAAATAAGAAATTAGAAAGAAGACCACACCAAAACTTTTTTTATTGCAAGATATATGAATGAAAACAACAAGATACAGTTGCATCTTTAATTGGAGAGGAAGATCCGACTCTCTCAAATCCCTAGCCGGCGGCTAGATCCCTCGCAACCTAAAAAATTCTAATTTCAACAAACTCAAAACATAATCATAAATCACCCTATTGTTAGCCTTAGATAAGCTCTCATAATTCCCTCCTAAATTAGCCTTCTTTCACTAAATAATTCCCTCTCATATTTGAATTAAAATCAAATATCTTATCCTAAATAATTCCCTCTCAATTATAATTATAATTTTTCTAAACAATTCCCCATTATTCCTCCTCCTTTTCCCGAAATAATTTCCTATTAGATTTTTGAATTCAAATTAGATCTCTTGCCCTAAATAATTCCCTCCCAGCTGTAATTAAAACATCATAAATAATTCTTCTTTGATCAAGAAACTTCCTAAACAGCCCCCTCTTGATTAGAACACTTTCTAATTCCTTTCCAACCAAATCGGCCGGTCCATCACATTCACATTCCACCCTATCCAATATGGGTAAGAAAAATATGTTTTGATTGTATACTTTCATATGCTTTATTCTTCTCAAAAAAAAAGAATGATGTCTTTTTCATGATATAGATATGGAAAAGAAATTGAAAACTAACCGTTCATTATTGTGAAGATTCCCTCAATCTAATCAAGCTCCCTTCGTTCAATCAGTGACAATGCTCTCACTCCGCTTCTTTTTAAACGAAGCCCCTTGATTATTGCATATAGTTATATCTCATCAGTATTTGAATACCTTAGATAGTTTCTCTTTCAAATGGATAGAAAACACCGATTACTCAATGAAATAGATAATATAAGGGCCACAGTTTTAATGTACATCTTCTTGTAGTTAAACACAACAGATGAGTCCTAATGTCCAATATTTTTTAGTTGAGTTCTTATGCTAGTAAAGGCATCATGAATCGTAACAAGCAACATGACATATAATACATGCCTCATGCTAGGGTACACATCACATTCAGATAAAGTTAGTTAGGTTGATCAAACCATCAATGGTTTCCAAATTCTAAACCACTATTAGATTTCATTAATAGCATTGATTCCCAACACCAAAGTGACTTATGACCAACCAACGTCCCACTTTTCGAGAGCAAAACAATCTAAACCTTTGTGGATTTGAAAATTGTAAAAATGCAACCATAGCCTTGCCTTTTTCTCTTTCAATGATATTCAGGTACACAAGTATAGGAAGAAAGAATTTGGTTCCATTGTGGAAAATAAGCGTTGGTTCATTGTAAAGTGAAAAACCTAAACTGTGAGAACTTTCATGCTACAAGTACACAAAGTTCAAATAATAGTACCATCACATGATGTAGGAAAGTTAGAACTTTGCAAGAATGTGCATGCGAATAGACTGATTTTTCTCTCAATCTCACTATATAAAGTCTGATGTTATGCACAAACAAACCATCATATCTAAATTGATATGCATGTAATTGAATTAGAGGTGTAAGTGAGCCGAGCCGAGCTTATCGAGCCACGAGCTCGAGCTCGTTTATTAAATGAGATCGAGTTTGAGCTTGACGAGACTTGGCTTGCGAGCTTGCGAGCCGGCTCAAAATTATTAAATTTAAATATTTTAAAAAAATTAATAATAATTTTAGTTTTGTATTTTCAATTCCAGCCTGGATTTTGGCTTAAATGTCAATTTGACGCGCCTCTCTCTCTCTCTTCTCTGACAGCCACATAATAATAAATGACAAATCTCTCTCTCTCTTCTCTGATAGCCACTTAATAATAAAGGGAAAACTCTCTCTCTTATTTGACAGCCACAGAGTAATAAATCTCTCTCTCTCTCTCTCTTCCTCCCGCTACAATTGTAAAAGATAGCTAGCTCAATTTTTAAGGTAGAACTCATCTATGTTTGCACTCCTATTCCCGCCCTTGGCTCGTGAGCCAGCTCGAGCTCGTTAACAATGGGATAAGCTCGAGTTCGAGCTTGCTTTACAAATGAGTAAATGACAAGCCGAGCTTGATAAGGCCTAAACTTGACTCAACTCGACTCGTTTACACCCTTAAATTGAATGCACGTGTTCACGCTTTTGTAGACATGATGTAACTTAAAAACAGTAGGCACACAAGTTATTGACATACGTAGCCAAATTTTAATAACAATATATTCAAAAGATATACCTATGAGTCACGAAAACAATAGGACGATGTCCTATCCCAGCAACAAGAAGCCTATCCAGCAACATTGAGCTAACTTCCTGCAGAGCACAATAGGTCAAGCAAATGAACTCATTAAAAGCAAATGATTAACATTAGAAACTGGAAATGTTCACATGGTAGAGGTAGAAAATATGTTTTAAAAATTATGATTTTATTTCTCATTTTATATGTGAAAATAGAATCATTACATTTGAAAGGATTTGAATGGTTTATGGATCTTAAAATCAAAGTTGTTCTCAAACTACACCAATCAAATGACTTATCTAATTTGAAAACATGTATTTAAACTTAAGCAACTTAAGTGGCCCAAGTAAATTTCGGAAAACCACGCTCATATTCGCTTAGCAATTGCAATTGGATGGAATAAATCGGCAATAAAAGATAAGTATCAACTAGCAAATGTTAATTAACTCCATAGTCCATGAAAATTATTCCCAATGCCTAATTTATTCAGCGAAAATCCACAAAGTGGAATTAAAATAGTCCTAGCCTCAATTGCACATCGAGCTAGCTATAATATATGAAATTATTTGAAAAATGTATGGAAGCAATAAAGGTGTCTCATGGATAAAGTTCAAATATATAAAATTGTTACCTTTGATTTATGTCAAACAGAAACTTCCCTTCGTGACATGAACTCATGGAACAGAAATACACTAAAGATCTTACGAACTTCTATTAACTGTCAAGAAATTAATCAAGCTAGACAAGAACAATACAGCACATGACATAGTTCAGGAGCACTATAGTCTGGTGGTACTTTTCACCTACCAGTTAGATTAATTAGATCCTAGCTTGAGTCAGTTGAGCTACTTGGATTTTAATTATATATTTCTACTTATTATTTATTTGTAGGTTCAATATTTGATGAAATCAATGGTCCAGATCAACGTTTTAAAAGGCAAAATCGGGAATCGAGACGTTTTGGCTAAGCGAGGCGAGGCGTAAGCCTCAAAAATGATAAAAATAAAGTAATTTAAAATTATGAATAATGACAAAAAATAACAAAATATTATGTCAATTGTGAATTTGATGATTTGTTCTAAGATAATATTACTATATTACTGAAAAAGAAGATTTAAAATAAGCTCACTTAAAAATTAAATATCCCTTTAGGATCAAGACCCAATGCAGGCTCATCATCACTTTGATTGTCTTCAGAAGAATCTTCATAATTAATGTCAAAGTCATCCTCAAACTCTTCTTCATGTATAATATTTTTTTTCCTTTGTCCCCTATATCAGTTAATATTTCATTAGCTCTAGAATGAAACAATACACAACAACAACAACAACAACATCAAGCCTTTATCCCACTACGTGGGGACGGCTACATGAATCCTTTTTCTCCATTGTGTCCTATTAAAGGTCAAATTCTCGTTTAAATCTAATAAAGAAAAGTCGTTCCTAATATTTTCTAACCAAGTCTTTTTAGGTTTGCCTCTACCTTTCTTAACATAAGTCAAATCTAATACCTCTACTCTCCTAACCAGGTCATTGGAAGGCCGCCGTTTTATGTGACCAAACCATCTAAGGCGACTCTCTCTAATCTTAGCTTCTACTGGAGCTACTCCAACCTTTTCACGTATATGCTCATTTCGTATCCTATCTCTAAGGGTAAAGCCACTCATCCACCCGAGCATCCTCATTTCTGCCACACTTAACTTAGTATTATGCTTCTCTTTTAATGGCCAACATTCATCACCATAAAGCATTGCAGGCCTCACTACCATCTTATGGAAATTTTCCTCAAGTTTGAGGGGTACTTTTCTATCTAGAATGAAACAATAATATCATAAAAATAATTCATTATATTTAAGAATACATTTGAATTCTTTTAAGCTCCAATCTCACTTTATTTCTTTCTTTTATATACATGAGTAATTGCTTCATTGTCTTCATTGACATGAATTTTTCCTTCTGCTTCAACTTCAGAAATATCAACATTCTTAGGAGTAACTCATTCATCATCAGATTGTAAATCATCAACAAATAAAGGGTCAATTTCATTATCAATGCTTCATTGCTTCTGTAATTTTGGATGTCTATCTTTCAGTTTTTTGTTAAACATAACATAAACTAGTTTGTTCATTCGATCTGTCACCAATCGATTTGGGATGCTCCAATTACGCTCGTATGCATAAGCCGAACATGTTTGGCTAAGAACTTTAACTAGAAAAGCTTTCAATTCAGAAACATCATCTCCAAACTGACTTCACCAACGTTCTATATGAAAATGAATAGCATTTTATGAATATTGATTGAAGTAGAAGACTTAAACATAAATATTAAAATTAAAATTATAAATATATAAATTATAAATATACCAAGAGGTTGTGCTTTGTAACATGCTTGTGCTACTCTAAATCCAAACATTCCCTACTTCAAATGAAATTCCTCAGGTTGATCATTCACTTTGAGATAGTCATCTTCAGAAATGAGTCTGTCCATACATACATACAAATCAATTTTCACCTCTTTATCAACATGAAAGTCTTTATCATAATGAAATTGAGGGTTTAAATAGTATGCAGCAACATGTAAGTGTTGCTGTAATTGACGATCCCACTTTTCATCTATAATATCCCATATTTCTTTGTAGGCACTTTCTTGACCTCTCAAATCTTTTGCAATGTTTTCTTTAGCCCTATTCATTGCTTCATAAATAAATCTCATAGTCGGAGCCCTCTCACCATCAACTATTATAAGCACCTTAACTAATGGTGTTGTTGTCTTCAAAGCATAATTTGTACTGTGCCAAAATGAATCATCTTTCATAACAATTTATTTTTTCTATTTTCCATCTTGTTTTTTTGCATATAAACTTTTATCCCATTTTTCAGAAGCAAACATAGCTTCCAAAGGTTGCCTTAACTCCTTGAATCTCTGCAATATTAAATATGCAGTAGCAATATCGTAACAGAAGGTCTAATAATTTCCTTGCAGTGAATTTTCTCATCAAATTGAGTACTCAAGAATGATTGTATATGAATTTACTAACGAATTTGGCCTTCGATTTATGCTGAGGCAACTGTCTCAACCTCTCAAGCATTAAATCAATGCAATGTGCAACACAAGGAGTCCAGTAAAGGTGAGGCCTCTTCTCCATTAATATTCTCCCTGCAGCTTTATATGCACTTACATTATTAATAACAACTTGTACTACCAAAACATCACCCACTTCCTCAACAACTTTATCCAACATTTCAAATAATAATTGTTCATCATTTACAAAACTTGAAGCATCCACTAATTTTAGAAAAACTATTTCATATGGATTGTTGACCAAGAAATTAATAATACTTCTGTGTCGAATATCTGACCAACAATCAGACATTATTATGACTCTTGTCTCAATCCAAGTCTTATTAACATCATCCACCATTTTTTAAGTTGTCTTGACCTCCTCATTCAGCATCCAAGTCCTCAGTTCATATATGCTTGAAAGTTGTAGTCGTCTTCCATAGCTTCCAACAAATCGTAACATATTAATCCATGACAGACTCCTAAATAATCAACATCAAATTATTGATATATACACGATTTTTATTTATTTACAAGCAAAAAAATCACAACACAAAATCAATGATAGGACATATTTTAATAATTATTTGTACTGCCAATAATAAGACAACATGAATACAACAATATACCGATCTCCGGGGGTCCAAGGGGGCGCTGCCCCCTGGCGGGGTTTGACCTGCCCGGTCAGGTCGCGGGGTCAAGGGGCAACGCCCCTGCGGGGATTTCCGGGGCCAGCGCCTAAAGTTCTGCTTGCTTTTAAAGTTCGTAAGTTGTTTGTATGGAAAGATACCGAGCGGTACGGAGCATGTACCTAACGGTACCGAGCATGTACTGAGCGAATGAATGAAAGAAAGCCGAATAAAGAGTTCTTCAAGCTTTCATTACTGTACCTTAAAATTCAAGGCCCACAACACCGCTCACCTGCTCTTCCGACCTAATCGAGGCCTGAACGTTTCCTGCACTCACAACTTAGGCTTTGTTTCCTGCTTTCGAAATCGTTATTGCTTTCAGCTTCGTTTCCTACGTCGTCTCCTTCCGGCTTTGTCTCCTGCACCACGGCTTTGTCTCCTGCACTCACGGCTTCGTCTCCTTCCCTCACGGCTTCGTCTCTTTCCCTCACGGCTTCGCCTCCAATTCGCGTTTCTCACAGGAAGCCCTAATCCTATACGCGAACATGAATCGACAGCGTTGTATTTACATATATACCGAAGAAAAAATTTCTAGGCGGTGCCTCGTACTGCCTCGAGGCATTACGCTTTGATGCGTACGCCTTGTGCGAAAAAATCGTAGGCTTCGCTGGATGGTTTGAGGCGTAAGCCCCGATACGCATGACTTACGCCTCGACTTGAGGCGCGACTCAATGCGGACGCCTCGTTCGCTTTTTTAATGGTTGGATTAATTTGAATCTCGGCCACATGCAAGCTTCTACTTGAATTTCTAGAACTGGAATAATGATTTAAGAGTTGCAACCGCCTTTTGTAAAAAAGGCAGAAAGGGAATCTTCTCCTCAAAAAGATTGCAAAAACCGTATTTGCATAAGGCTGGAAGATCTTTTTATTTTCTGCAGAAATTCAAAGAATCCACTAGTATATATTTATGGTAAATTCTATTCTGTCTTGATCACCAGCATCAGTTTGATATGGGACAAAGATGTTCAGGGAAAGATACATCAAACAATTGGTGAAATGTTGGATAAATTTGAAGCAAACAAGAAGAGATTCAAGACGTTTTTCACAACATCACATGATGTTAATTGTCAAATCCATTGGCGGAAAAAAGCTTATAGACTTGCAGTCTCTAGATGGAATAATTGTCATTGTTAAACTGAATGTTAACAATGAGTTTGACGTTGGGCATTAAAAATTTCAGAGGAAAATGCATTGTGTATTTCGCCATTGTAGCGGAGAGAGATGAGATGGTTGCTAAGTGCTTGAGGAATCATGTTTGGCCATCGAATCAGGAAGAAGCTGTGAGGCTTACAGATCTTATGCCATGATGAATATCAGAGTAAACTGAGATGGCTAAAGAAAAGAAAGACTGCACAGAATTTGATATATTCATTACATTATGAACAAGGCTAATCAAGTTTATATATATAGATCTCTAGAGTACAAGAGAATAGTACTGAAGGAATAACTAATCACATGGGAATAACAAAATGAGGTAATAGTGGAGCTGGGCTGTCCTTTGGAGGTTTAGAAGTTTCATCCAGGTATATGAGTGTTAACACTTTGGATGGATTCCAGTAACCTGATGAGTAGAGGAGCTAAACGTTTACTTATTTAGGCTAACAAATGCAAAAGCACTGGAACAATAAATCTTTCTAGGACTAATAATTATAAAAACAACAACAGCAAAAGTCAAAGCTTTAGCCCTGCTCCAGATCTGTGATTTACCATGCATAACCGATCACAAAATCAACAAGAAATACCAAAAAGGATTCTTGGTTTGACAATAAAATGAGATATTAGACAAGCTTATCGTCTACAAATGAGTAAAGAAATTAAGAAAGCCAAAACATGTATGATTGGAGATTGCTCAAACCTGAAGAGGTAAGCTAGCTCCCGTCCACCGAGTTAGTTTGGTCTGCATAAATTATTCAGTTAGATGTAGATAATAACCATCCTGAATATCATGAAAATTGAAACTACTACAGCTAGGACTATGGCAGGCAGAAAGTTCCATACAGCATTGCATAAAGAAAATAAAGAAAAATACCAATTGAATTTGAAAAAAAATTATGGTTGAAAATGAATAGTTTTAGGGTTAAACCTTATATTTTAGAGTAAAAAGGCGTGCCTGTGGAAAATCAGACGACAGCCATTCACTTGGCCAAAACGTTCCCTCTTTCCCAGCCTCTTGATCTATATGCTCCACCAACCCATCTTTACTAGTGGTTGAAACCTTGTCATCTGCCATACGCCAAGACTTAAATGGCCCTCCACGTAAACCATGAATAAATACAACATCAATCAAAGGGGACTCCCCATGTGAAGCCACATCTATCCTGCTAACATAGTCTGAATTGCCACAATTTTGATTTGAAACATACCCATTGCCATCACCACTTGAAGAAACAACAGAAAAGTTGGATTCTTTTGTGTTCGATGAGTCTCTCGAAGCATTCCTTTCGGAACATTTCCAATGTGGCAGCTCAGGACTAATCAAAAATAGCATATCTTTATATCGAGCACATGCCGATTGGCCCTCAGTTTCCATTAACGACTGTTTTCCAATATTCTCAGAGCAAAATACATTCAGCAGTGTTGCCCTTGCATAACTCTGAATTTTTGGATCAGTGCAACAAGAAATTTTATGACTTGCACAACTCTCAAGCCATTGGCACCACATCTCATCTTGTGCAATGGAACTTTTCACGTTTGGGAGAAGAGAGAGGACTGTGAGAAGCTGAGCAGCATGTCTGCGTATGTGTGCAGCAGGAGGAACACGAACACTAGAAGAATCATTAGAATCTGAGGCTGGTTGGTCAACAGCAACTGTAGAGGGTCGGTCTTGAGATTCCATGGCTCTTGAAGCATCATATGTTTCATTTGCTGCAAGTTTTTCATAATCATCTCCAACAAGTAAGCGTTTAAGCAGGAAAAGGATTCCAAAATCAACTAATTTCTTTTGGTGCTCAGAATCCTCGGAACAAAGCTCTGTCAATGCTTTGATACCCTTTAGTGTAGCAAAAGCTAAATCAGCAGCAGCAAGCTTCTGTTGATTACGTCCCTTCTGGTTTTTAGATAGAGGAGCAAACGGCTCAAGAGAAAGAAAATCAGCAAGAGGAAGCTGATCTGTAGAATCAGAATCAGATTCCAACTTGCTCTTTGCTTGTCCGATAACACCAATAGCTAACTGATTCACCACTTGAGCAGCTGAAAGGGCAGTGGACTGTTCAATTCTACTCTGCAGAGTTCAAACTCAGGCATCATAAACTAATATAGAAAATAAATGATGCAACTATATGGAAGAAAGAAAGGAATAAAAGCAATGAATACTTCCAGGCCAATAATGATGCAAAAATAAATAAAAATTTTGACATAACAAGTACTAATTAATCAGCTATATTTAAAATTTAATAGATTGCTACAAACTTAGTTAAATAAATAATTTTAAAATATCATTTCTTTGTTAGTGACTTGGTGTATCCGCATCAGATTTATTATATGGATAAATCTATTGTAACAGCTTTTATTGATATTATTACATAGTTACAACTTTAACGCCAATATAATGGTTGATTAAGTGATTGTATTTCTGGTAATTCTTGAAATTCAGTAGACGATTTTGATGAAGCAATGCACCGGAGATGCTCTTCTTGAGTACTGTAGCCTTGAGTTCAATGATAATAGCGATAGAGATCTAAAATTTTACACACATCAGAAAAATAAATCTAGTGAATTAGGATGAGCAAATTGGTATAACCAAACACCACCATTTCATTTAATTCTTCAATTTTATTTAGTAGTTTCATTTTGAGGTCATTTATGTGAACATGACTATAATGATAATGCCAATGAAAATGCGAGTTTTTCTAATATTTTCAACAACAACAACAACAATAAGCCTTATCCCACTACTTGGGGTCGGCTACATGAATCATTTTTCCCCATTGTGTCCAGTTAAGAGTCAAATTCTCATTTAGATCTAATAAAGAAAGGTCATTTCTAATATTTTCTAACCAAGTCATTTTAGGGCTACCTCTACCTTTCTTAACGTATGTTAAATCTAATACATCTACTCTCCTAACCGGGTCATCGGAAGGCCGCTGTTTTATGTAACCAAACTATCTAAGGAAACTCTCTCTAATCTTATCTGTCCACTGGAGCTACTCAAACCTTTTTACGTATATGCTCATTTCATATCCTGTATCTAAGAGTAAAGCCACTCATTCACCTGAGCATCCTCATCTCTGCAACACTTAACTTAATATTGTGCTTCTCTTTTAATGGCCAACATTCTTCGCCATAAAGCATTGCAAGTCTAATCACCATCTTATAGAATTTTCCCTTAAGTTTGAGTGGTACTTTTCTACACAATAAGCTCGATGAATTCCTTCAATTCATCCATCCAACTTGAATTTTACTAATAATATCCCCATCTATTTCACCATCACTCTGAATAATAGACTCAAAATATCTAAAGCGTGTATTTTTATTAATGACTTGAGCACTCTAAGTCACAAAACCCCCACTAGATCTATTACTACTAAACTTACACTCAATGTATTCGGTTTTAGATCTACTCAAACGAAAATGTTTAGAATGTAAGGTTAACCTCCATAATTCAAGTTTACCTTCAACTCTATCTTTAGTCTTATCAACAAGAAGAAAATCGTCAGCAAAAAGCATACACCAGGGAACATTCTCTTTCAAATCTCTATAAGAACATTCACGACTAAAGCAAAAAGACATGGGCTTAAGGCTGATCCATGATGTAATCCAACTGAAATTGGAAAGTACTTGGTCAAACCACCTTGTGTTTGAACACAAGTAACAGTTCCAACATACATATCCCTAATGACTTGAATATAAGTATTATTAATCCTTTTCTTTTTTTTAGAACTCTCCATAGCACTTCTCTTGTAACTTTATCATATGTTTTCTCCAAGGTTTAAAATTGTGTAATTAAGCCTCGAGGCGGTTTTTGTCCGTGAGGCGAGGCGTAAGCCTCGAGGCGGTCTGAGGCGTAAGCCTCACGGACACAGAATTGCGTAAATGAGAAATTAAGGGTTTTAGCAGGTAAATAATAGCAATATTCTATCTTACAATAAAAACATCTAAATGCTATATAAAAATTGTGGAAAATAACAAAATAGCCGTTTGTGATTGCGACAAATCGTCAATTAAGCTCGATGCATCCAATCAACAAGCTACTCGTGCCTCACTACCGTGACACCATGAACATAAACGCCCTGGCTCGACAGAGCCTCGTCAATGCCGATGGCCTTCTCGAGTTCATCATCTTTCCTTCCAAGTATGCTCTCGAAATGTTCTCCACGGCTTACAAGAGCTAGAATTTCGTCGAACAGGGACTTCCATCCGATCTCCTCACGCGGGGCATGGCGGTGGAGGACCCTTCGAGGCCGCACAAGCTCCGGCTCCTAATCGAAGATTACCCATATGCGGTAGATGGGCTCGCCATTTGGTCAGCGATCGAGACTTGGATTCGCATGTACTATGCCATCTACTACCATGACCACTCAGCCGTGCATTGCGATGAGGAGCTGCAGGCTTGGTGGAAAGGAGGTCGTGTGAGGTCGGCCATGGCGACAAGAAAGATGAACCATGGTGGCCTGAGATGAGGAGCGTGCCGGAGCTGGTCAAGTCGCATGCCACCATCATATGGGTGTCTTCCGCCATGCACGCCGCAGTCAACTTCGGCCAATACCCGTACGCCGGCTATGTCCCAAACAGGCCAACAATGAGCCGCCAGTTTATGCCGGAGGTTGGCTCGGCTGACTACGGCGAGCTTCAGAAGAACCCAGAGAAGGTTTTCCTGAAAACGATCGCGTGCCAGTTGCACACCATTGTCGGGATTTCACTAATCGAAGTGCTATTGACATACACGAGCGATGAGGTGTATTTGGGGCAGCGGGTGAGCGCCGAGTGGAGCAGGGATGAACGCGCTATCGAAGCGTGGAATCGCTTCAGTGGCAAGCTGAAGGAGATTGAGAAGAACATTGCGTGGTTGAATTGTGAGATTAGCATGAAGAATCGCCGTGCCTGTTCCTATGAGGCGTACACCTCTGCCAGAATTGCGCAATTGCGCCTCTGAGGCGCGCCTCAGTCCAAGTGAGGCGTACGCCTCTGCCAGAAGAGGAATTGTGTAAGCCTCGAGGCGGTTTTGGGTAAAATTGCGCGCCTCTTATTACGCAATTTTAAACAGAGGTTTTCTCTAAATTAATAAATATCATATGAAGATCTTCCTTTTTCTCTTTATACTTCTCCATCAAACCTCTCAATAAAAGTATGACTTCCATAGTAGACCTACCCGACATGAATCCAAATTGATTTTGAGAAGCAATAGCATCACGTCGTAAGCTATGCTCCATAACTCTCTCCCATAGTTTTAAAGTATGACACATCAACTTAATTCCTCTATAATTTGCACAATCTTATGCATTGCCTTTATTCTTAAAGATAAGAATTAACACACTCATTCTCCACACATCTGACATCTTTTTAGCCTTCAAAATAATATTAAAAAGTTTAGTAAGCCAAGAAATTCCTTCATCTCTTAAGCATTTTCACACCTCTATTGAAATATCATCAGGTCCAACAGTTTTCCCGCACTACATTTTCTTTAAAGCCTCTCTAAGCTCAGTTTTAGTAATATGCCAATAAAAACAAAAAATTTCAATTTTCATTTAGAGTGTTAAGGTCACTAAAGTCAATTGTATTTTCACAATCTTCATTGAAAACCTTAGCAAAATGTCTCATCCACTTTTATTGAATATCAACTTCTAAAAAAACTACTTTTTGATCTTTATCCTTAATGCACTTCACTTGAATTAAATCCTTACCACTCCTATCTCTTTGTTTAGCTAGATTATACATATACTTTTCGCTCTCTTTAGTATGTAATCTATTATATAAATTATTAAAAGATAAAATTTTTTGCATCGCAGAATACTTTCTTACACTCCTTATTGGCAACTTTATATATTTCCAAATTTACAAAATTTTTACATTTAAACCAATTTTTATAAATATATTCTTATTTTTTATATTTTTTTACACATTCTAATTCCACCACCAACTATTTTTATTATTGGAAGATTTTTCATTCGATACTTCAAGCACATCCTTTGCACATTCTTAATATTATGAGATACTATTTTCTATATAACATTAGCTTCCTCATGCACCGAAAAAATCTTAAGATTATGAATCTTTCTCTCAAAGGTATTTTTGTTGTAATTCTTTAAATACCACCACCTAGTCTTAGAACAACGAAGAATAATATACTATATTTTTCATACTTTGCCCCTTCATCTTAAAGTACAAAACTAATAAGCGGTGTTAGATACATAGACTTTCACTCAGAGTAATTTTACAATTTATGTAATATAAACGATCTATTTTTCTTACAAGAAAATAATCAATCTAGGTTTTACTATATCCATTCTTATAAGTGATGAAATGCTCATCTCTTTTCTTAAATAAGATATTAGCAATAATAAAATCATAAACTAGAGCAAAATATAATATAGTCTTATCACCTTCATTAGTCGCTTCAAACTCATATAGCCACCATGAATGCTTTTAAAATCATCTACCTCTTTACCAACATGTCCATTTAAATCTCCCCCAATAAAATCTCTTTCTTCAAAATGTGTGTTTTGTATTAATTCTTCTAAATCATTCCAAAATTTTAATTTTAAACACATATCAAAACCTACTTGATGAACATAAGCATTTATGATATTAATAATCTTATCATCAATAATAATCTTCAAATCTATAATTCTATCTCCAATTCTACCCATTTTTACGACATTATATTTCAAACTATTATCTATAATCACACCTACACTATTTCTAGTACGCCTCTTATCAGAATACCAAAGTTTAAACCCTAAACTATCAATCTCCTTAGCCTTCTCTCCCACCCAATTTGATTCTTGAATGTATAGAATATTTATATTCCTTTTACTTATAATAGCAATTAATTCCATTAATTTGCATGTAAGGGAACATACATTCCACGATCCTACCCTAATTTTAGTTTTATGGACTAGCTTATTTGCCCACATCCGTCCATAAGTTTTTCTAATATTTTGATTCCTCAAATATGGTCAAAGTTATTTGGTTTGGTTCTACTGCGGATTCGGATATATGATTTGATTTTGGGTTCATTGTGAGTGTTGGTTTACTTTTTTTAGAAATTGGGAGTCTTCAAGCAGCATTATTAAAGGCTCTAGGTCCCCTCAAGTAGCTACCTAATATTGAGGCACTAGACCAACGTAGGCTCTAGTCCAAGTGAAATGAGGACCTAAAAAATTATTTTCAAACCTAGATGCTCATTGAGTTCATAGCATTATTTAGTGGCATTAGGAAACTCAATATTAAGATGACCTATGTCAAATTGGTATGAGAGCTATATTTTGTCAACATGTCAACTAGAAGGCTCAATATTGAGATCAACTAAAAGATCATCCATTACATCTAGGAGATATGCCAATAATATGCAAGTTATTATAACTATCATATGGACAATGAGAGAATAATACTGAAATTATCTAACATATAGATTATAAGATTGAGGCACTAGACCAACAAGGCATGATCCATAATACTGACATTATCTAACATATAGATTATAAGATTCGAGATTTCAATTGATCTATTAACACGTGAAGTGGAGCAAAACTCCTAGCCTAGAGGGTTTGACAAGCTCAAAGAGGGAGAGTTGAGTGTAGCCCAAAGGCTTTGTGTGGATATTTTTTTGGGTATTTTGGCAAGATATTAAAGAGTGGAAATATCATTTATAGATATGGATGATAGTGAAAGGTGTATTAGGAAATATATCGGGATATTATGTTTGATTAGATTGAGATAATATGGCAGCCCACTGTTTGGATGATTAGAGAGATAAGGAAGATATTGTGAAGATTAAAAATAAGCATGAGAATAATCAGCTTGTAAGCAAATAAATCATGATTCAATTTAATTTTTGTAAGTAAATCATAAAACCAACTTCACAAATATAGAATATACTTGGTTTGGAAAGTAGGAAATATTTGGTTTGTATATTTGAAAATTTTTGGAAGGCCAACTGGGAAGGTTGGACACCAGGTTAACTATGGAGATACTTAGCATTTAGCAAAGATTTCCAAAATGACTTTCTCTTGAAGGAGGGGTGTAGGGGTGGATGTTTCGGCCAAGCTAAAGAAGGTGTCATCTTTATTTTTCTGCAGGATCATAAAGATTTCGGTGAAGGAGCAATCCAAGTCAACATGCCCAGAAATAACAATGCAGATATAAGCAAAAGAGATCATGCATTTCAAATTTCATTTCAACAGTACTAAACAAGACATTAGAATGCTTTTTGAGTTGTTTTGAGTTGGAGGGTTGGAGTAAACTTTGAGGGTTTAAAGCAGGTCAGGTTGTCCGGTCTTTATATAGAATTTATGACGATGGAGGGATGGTGATGATAGCGGTGAAGTTGGTAAGATAAGCACAAACCCAAAAACAAGACATCAATGAATAAAATGAGTAATTGAATCGAGCTCATGCCATAATATAAATTGATGAAGCAATGCAGCATGGCTCTTTTTCATGATTAGTATTAATGTTGAGGTTCAAGTGAAGCAGAGGGAGATCTCTTGTGTAGATGGAAAAAGAGAAGATATAGAGAGAGGGATCGGAAAGTGTGCCTAAGAGGGGAGAGGGGAGTGGGAACCAGCCAAGATATAGGGGAGAATAGAAGCTTGGTCTGCAATAGCAACTATTTGTTTGATGATTAAAGTATTTCCTTTATGGTATGTAGTATCCCCTTACATATAGACAAAATGACGTGGAATTGCACCATAGGATCCAATTCTTAACGTGAATAATGCATCCATAACACAAATAAAATAAAGATCAAATCAAACATAGAACTTATATATTGTTCCGTCAGATAATAGGCGAGCCTTGTCTGGAGACAATGTCAATAATAATTATGACGTGTACTATTTGTTGAATCACAAGCCATGCCATTTGTTTTTAAAAACAGCAAAAGTAAGTTGGGCAAAACATGTTTTCTGCACTTATTTTTGGCTCTGACAAAATAGAAAATAAATATAGTAGGCAAAAATGATTCCACACATAACAATGCAAATCTAATTTCTTTGAATACATGAAAGTGAATGAAAGAAGAGAAATAAGTTGCCACATTATGTATTAAATTCCACATAACTAAAGAAAAGGTGCTATGAGAACCAGGAACGCTGAAACAGAATAAATTTAAAAAACATGGGGAAAAAGACAAAACCTTCACTTTATCAGACTTTGCCATAGAACTTCCTTTTAAAGATGCTGTCTTGCTGGATCCAAGTATTTCATTGAGCATGATAGCTAACCATCCCTGAGAAATTGGTATGGAATCAGGCCCATGGTCTTCAAGGATGTATGAAAGTAATTTTGTCGATGATGAACGTATACTCTCTGACAAAATTTCATGAAAAACCCATCGCAGAAGAATTCCAGACCACTTCTGACTTTCCTCAAGAGATAAATGCATATTACCATCATAAAGCAATCCTAAGACCCTCACCAATGCTTCTTGCAAATGCTTATTTTTCCCAGACTTGCTGGCTATTTCCCTCAGCAGAGTGAGGCCACTATCATGCACAAAAATCCTTGCCTCATTACTCCTCTCAATAGATGCAAGAAAAGCTGATAACGCTATTTGTGCTAAAGGAACATCTTCAACTTTACTAGCCTGAAAAGCAGTAGAAAGAAGACTGGCACTCCATTCAGGAACAGAAACAGTCAATGGCAAATCAAAGTCAGACAAGAGTGCACGAGCTATCAAGCTTCCATGCCATTTCACAGTCCTTTCTGCTGCTGTCAGTGCATTCATAACAGCATGCCCATTTCTATCAAGTTCTTGAATATAGGAGCGATTACACTGAGAAGCCAAAGCCCAATTAGCAAGAGCCCATGCAGCAAAAGGGACAGCCACGTGTTCACGCTGCAGATCATCCCAAAGACCGGGAACCGCTGAGGGAACTACGGCCCCCAAATTTGGCAAATAACTGGTACTTCCCTGGAACTCTACAGTTCTGGTTAAAAACATGGTTGAATCCACAAGGTCATCAGTTGCTGTCAAACTCATGCGGTTGTCCATTCTTGAGAATCCTAAAACAGTTGTACCACCAAGAATCTTTATCGCAATTCCCTTGATTCCAGGATTGCCATCATCGCCATCCTCATTCCCCTTATTATCAGCAAAATGCATTCCGCCCTCCTCAATGACTTCAAGGGCTGCAGCGATATCTCTTATATCTGCATTTACAGGCAAAGATGGCTTATGCATCGAGTTATCAATATTGTCACAGTTTGATGTGACTATGTCCATCAGAACAGCTACAAGCATGCTTTTTCCCCTCCAAAGATCAGCTCCCTCAAATGACACATGTCTAAGTTGCTGCTTACAAAAAAGCAAGTTAATAGGTAAAATTCGATGAGTTTGGTAAGAAGGATATCATGCTTAGCAAACCATTGAGAGACATTACCAATCGATATCATCATCAAAAGCTTACCCATTTATTTATTGTGTGCTTCACGAATCTATTTAAGGTTAGCTTGATGAGATCATATTTGCAATTCACTCTACTTCACTGTTGAATGTAGTGTTAAATCTAATTTGTGCAAACCTTTTTGTATCAATTCCAACCATGCTACCTAGGCCAGCTCCTTTTACTTCACAATTTTTTACATTAATTTTATATCCCATCAATTTCAGATCTATCATGAACATGCATGGATTATCCCAGTTTTTTGCCTTTAACCTTCTTAATAAGCAATACCCCCATAATTTCTAAGTCAGTAAGTCTAATATAAAACATTTTGTACTCTAACCTTTTGGGTTTACTAAAAATTTTTCTTAACGTTCTCTTTGTCACAAATTGGTTGTTATTTGTTTCTTCTTATTCTTTTTTTTCTACAATACTCAAATTCAAACACCATAACTGGTCTTTATTGTCATTTGAAAAAATGGTATACTCGTATATGTCAATGAAGGTAGTTCATAGGTAACAAGTGGGTTCCATCAAGAGAACTCGTTCAAAGCAGTCACATCACCTATTCAAGGTACTCGTCGGCAAAAAATGTGACTCGTCCAAAATCCAAATTAACGATTGTCTCATGCATGCACATCAAGGAACTCATACATATTCTTTCAAGCATGAGAGGGACGCTCAACTTGAAAAAATCAACTTGTCGGGCGTAAACTCCCACTGACATCTCCCGCTCTAGCTATAGAAAGTACAAACTTCAAGTATCCATAACTTTGACCCCCCAGACTTGAACAATCATCAGCTCGTCATTGTCATCACCATGAAGAATTTGCCCTTTGTGCCCAGAGGTCAAAATAGAGCCCCCTGGAATCACCTGGTATCCAGAGGACTCATCCAACATGACTTTTCTAGAGGACTAGCCCAATAAACTTGCTAGCAAAGACTCGCCCAGTGGACTTGTCCTAGAACCAAGAGATGTATAAAGACATAAAGCCAAGCAAACACATATTGGCTCATGGGTCTTGTACAGTCTATAACGGGTCATAACTAATATTTTACTTTTATTTTTTACTTTTTATAATGTGTAATCTTTCCTTACAACCCTCCAAGCACTATATAAATAAAGGTGAGACACATTTTAGATCTTTTCAACACTTCCGAATCTTTTTATAAATTCAAGATTTTTTTGATAGTATCTAAAATTATGAGCATATTTTTCACTCTCATTTCTCTAATATATTTCATTCTCACTTGACTCACTCTCTCTAAGCTCTATGCCTCCTGCCTAGAAGATAATTTGGTAGTAAAGTTGGGTGTCATCCACAAATAAATTTGGATCCAACGAAAACTTTCTTTTAATTCTCCGTGATAGTCAATTGACATATGGCATTTCAAAGCACCTCTCTTCATTTGAACTACCTAGTTTTGACTCGAGTTGTAATATCATTCATCTCCATTCTTTCATATTATGGATAAAACAAAAAACTACCATGCTTAAATGCAACTTATCCTCCATTAGTACTGGCATTATTACTAATTCCGCATCAAATAGAATTCCATACCATATCCTCAACCTTTGAACTATCAGTTATAAACATATAAAGAGACAAAATATGTTAAGAATAAAAAAAATTAATGCATGCAATACTATTTAATAAAAAAAAGCATCACAAACTATCAGTTTTTTTTTCTTAATTAAACGAAAAATAAGATGCTGCAATATGTAGAGGAAATATGACAAAACAATAAAAATTAAAATTAAATGAAATAAAAAATATGAAAAAACTGCAGGACACAATTTAAAGCTAACTGGATAGATAACCTTGTGTTAAACATAGAAGAAAGAAAGAGCCATCAATCCTTAAAATTGCAGGAAACTTTCACCAAGCTCCACTATAATAGTAATATTCCAAGCAACCTCCTATAATAAACAGGAAATGATGCTAAAGTCCTGATAAGAAAATAAACTAATTATCCAATGATCATGACAATACTAAGAAATTTAGATAGAGACGGTTTAAAATAACATGGCTTGTCCATCTTCGTAAGTTAGAAAGAACTAGTATTTCTCATAGACATAATGAAACTAATTGCATAAGTTTTACATCCGGATCGCTATTAAACAACGAATCAGAGTTTCTACATTTAAATGAAAACAACATAGCATGGATCATGCACGAAATTTTAATGGCTATTTATGCTATCATACTGACCTAAGTTATTTGTTCAATGCCAAAGTATATAAATAACAAGGAATGGCTTCACTTTGTTAGGAGTAAATGGAGCAAAAACATGTTCTAGAGTCATGCTGAACAATATATCAAAATCTCTACAACATGTCAGTCACGATTCTACCTGCACATCTTTCTTTACCATAAAAAATTTCTAGCCTTTCTTGAATACCACTATCACAACTTCAGAAAAAAAAAATAATAATAATACCATTTCAATCTGAACATTTACCAAATTAATATCTTTTCATGTTCCAGCCCATTCTTCCTCTAATAAGTACTGTAATAAGCTCATTAAAATGAAATCCAAAGCAAGGCATGAAATATTACTCCACAATGCAGGGCACAGATAAGCAAGAGGCGATTTGAGCTAATTAGTTCTTTTGATAGCAACCTTTCTGTGAACCCAATGAAAACAATTCATACGGCAACCAACTTCCTTTAAACTGTACCCACATAAAGGCTCGAGCAAATCACCCCGATAAATAGCTTTAAAGTTCAAACCACATGAAGGAACCAACACAATGAAAAATCATCCATAAGAAAAAACTAACCTTCGGCTGCCGCTTAGGCTGGAAGGACAAGATGAATCTGAGGAGTTTCGTTATAGCATTTGGCCGCCCTAGCACCTTCTCGCGCACATCTGGGTCAGCGATCAAATGTGCCAGAGCCCTTGCAGACTCCGACTGCGTCCCGCCATGATCACCTCCATTCCTCGGCTCGGCAACACTCTCCAGCAGCCAATCCACTACAGCTCCGCCACCAGCTCCGACGATAGCAGACCGGCGGGCCTCACTCGCCGCTGCAATATCCGCCAACAGCGCCGCTACGCGCAGCTCGAACCCTGATCGGACCTCCTGATTCGCCGACGACAGGACGGACGCCAACGATTTCCACAGAACCGTTGCGGCGTTGCCGGTTTGTACCATCCGGTCCAGCAAGCGGAGGATTGAGCCCTTGCACTTTTCTAGGGTTTGCTCGAGATCCGGGTAGGGCTGCTCGGTCCCTGACTGCGTAAGGTCATCGATCGATCGCAGGGAGTACTGGAGATATACCGCGACGGCGACTCCAGAGGTTAGGGCACCGGCAGCGGCGGCAGCATAGAAAGGGATGGATTTCGGGCGGAAAGAGTTAGAGAAGGACGAAGAGAGGGACGGCGGCGGCGGAGAGATGGCTTTGTGGAGAGCAGGAGGTGGGGATCGAATATGATCTCCTGCTTTTTTGTTGAGATGGGAGGAGGATGAAGAGGAAATGCACCGCCACAACACTGGAAGGGTTGGGCGGCGCGGCCTCTTGAAGAGGCGGGGCATCAGGCAACGAGTTTCAGTTTCCCCCTCTTTTATTACTTTTTCTTCGTGTTCTTCCTCTAAAAAGCCGACCCGTAATGGGATTAAGCTCGTTGTTGTTTTTCTTCTTCCCTCCTGTTCTAACTTCTGCTTGCGCTTTCGATCTTCTTCGAGATTGTTCGCACTTCGCAGGATGACCAAGCTAATGTAAACTAGGTGCAACGATGTGTCGATGTTGATGGAGGTGCTAGGATGTCAAGAGCAATTCCCAGACATCGTCGTTCGTTGGGTTGGCTTGTGATCTGGCTTCCTAGGTTGGTTGAGGTTGATGGCGGTAATTTATCGTTTTTAAGGCCATCTCCAATCCAAAAACTATAATTTATCGTTTTAAGGGCCATCTCCAATCCAAAAACTAATTTTACATTCCAAAATACATAATACTTTAAAATACAGTAATTTCTCTCCAATTGAGCTTTATTTTTTAACACCAAAAAATAATATCATATATATATATATATATAATCTCAATTTTTATATCAATTTTTAATCGTATTTTTATATTAAAAAAAAAAAACTAATGTGACGCTGAACATGAAGTGGCAATGTTACTTAGTGATATTTAGCGTGAGATTTGACATTCGATTGGAGGAGCGGGCTATTGCATATGAGCGTCTGCCGCTCGGTTAAAGATTTTCTAAAGAACATGGTATTGGAATAATTCCTTACAGGAGTTTGTCGGATTACGTGGTTACTCATATAGAGCATTCTGTTTTGATCGGCTTGTGTTTCACGTGTGGGTTTTTTTTATTTTTGACCCACTTTTGAGAGACTGATGTGATTATTTGTAATAGTATTAGTATAATTATTGTGAATAATAATAATTTTAAAAAAATATTATGAATATTATAATTTTTTTAGATTATGTAATAATTTTCATATAACTATCATACAATAATAAGTTTGATTATAAATTTTTTTTTTTCACTGTAAATATTTTTAAAATCAACTAAAAAGTCATTTAAACAAAAGGAAGATTTATATGCACAGCATTCAAAATTTGTCTATTTACATATCTAACACATAAAACTTTTAAAATACACTTATAGCACGTACTTCTTCTCTATCAAATCATTTCTACCACTATATTTCATCTCCCTAAGGCGCATGTGAGAACTCCTACCCTAGTCACGTCTAATATATGATCTTCTCCATCATCATGAGGGCAAATTATTATGTCCGGTGTCCGGATTTGTCCGGACACCAATCCGGTGTCGCCACGTCACCGAAATAATACACAAGGCCCCAGTGTATTTCGGTGACGTGGCGACACCGGATTGGATGTCCAGACATCCGATGACCGGATGTAATAATTTACCCATCATGAGACCGACGATCACTCCTGTCCTATTCATGAACTTCACCACACCATATTATGGTGAGAACTACTCTTGCACTAAATCTTTCTCTGTTATTTGTTACGTGGGGAGAACTCTTGCCCTAGTAATGTTCTCCACTGTGGTCTTCATCGTTTGGATAACTCCTACTCCGGTGAGAACTCCTGCTCTATTCACGAACTTCATTGTCATAGTCCTGTGAGAAGTCCTCATGCCCTAAATATTTTTTCGCTATTTCTTACATAGGGACTATGTCTATTTCAATCTTATGTCAAGAGTAAACAATCTAAGCTTTTTCTTTTGTGTTCTTGACCTAATCGATCAAGCTGAAATAAGTTTTTTCTTTAAAAAAAGTTCTGTTTGAAATTCAAAAGTTATTGCGTTTAGAGAATATCGCTAGAGAGAGAAGCTCCCGATTTTTCTAGAGAGAGAAAGTCTTATTTTTTTCAATTTTCTTGTTCGCGGGAAGAAGATAGCTGTTGATCGGTGTTCTGACATTATTCATGAAGTTGGAGGTGTAGGGATTTTTGTTGATCAGATCCCTGATGCGCCTGTTTCTTCTGGTGCGATTTTGAAGGTTAACAAGTTTGTTGTTAATCATGAAGAAATTATGGGATAATCGTTGGCATCTGATATTGATAATGTTGATAAGGAGATGAATGATGAAATTCCTATGAAGAGCCCTGATGTGGATAGAAATCAGGAGCCTGCTGCTTTGTTAACCTCAGATTTGGCCAGTTCGAAGAATAATAATTTTCAGGATGCCTGGCAGAAAACGAAACATACTAAGATCACTGCTGATAAGTTGATCACGGAATTGTCGAAGGATGGGATAGCGGTTAAGCTTAATGCTGAGAAAGAAGTGTTGAACTCGGAAATTTTGAGGCACTCGCTGGTGGTAATTAGGTGTTGGGAGACAGAGTATCATTTCCGCTGTGTAGCCAGGAATTGAGGAAGCAGTGGAACAAGTTTGGAAACTTTCATATGACGTCGATTGGTCTTAATTGGATTCTTTGCTCCTTCAAATCTTTGGAAGCAATGGAGGAAGTCCTTAGCGGTGGCCCCTGGTTCGTTGGTGGCTACATTGTGGGAATGGATAAGTGGTCTCCTTACTTCAATCCCAAATCTTTTAAAGGAATTTCGGCTCCAGTCTGGATTCGTTTGCCCTGCTTTCCACTGTATTGCTGGGATGAGGAGAACATTATTCATTTTGCTTCGAGAATTGGCGCCCCTATGCTGCTGGATGGCAATTCCTTTAAATGGGGGAAACGTGAATTTGCCTGGGTATGTGTCCGTTTGAATTTGGAGAATAGTTTACCTTATGGAATCTGGGTGGATGGAATAGCTGGACGGTTTTTTCAATAGATAGAATATGAGAAAATTGATTTAATCTACTATCAGTGTGGGAAGGTTGGGCATGATAGTAAAGTTTGTCCTGATATTGTGAGAAAGAAGGCTGTTGAACAGGGTGGAAACATGGCAGAGGTTGTAAAAAATGGGGAAGATGTGATGGAAATGCAAGGTGAAGATGGAGATTATGGGCCCTGGATTCACGTGAAGTTTAAAAACAAAAGAATAAGGAATGATAATATGACCATGGCTGGAAGGAATGGTAAAAATAATGCGGTATCAAAGTTACAGCCTGAAACAAGACATCTTTAATAAGGAAAAATCTTCAAAACTGCAGTTTGATCAGGTGAAGAAAAATGTTGCAAAAGATGTTAGTATTGAAGAAAGTGGCAAGGAAAATGCTGCAGAATGTGAATTGGGGATTTCGACTGCTAACAAATTTGATGCTCTACTAGAAGATGTTGAAGAGGGGGAGGTAAGAGAACTTCCTTGTGTAGAGCAACAACAGGAGTCTGGTGCTGTTGATCTGCCTGAGAAAATTGATGTAGTTGCTTCTCAGGGTAATAGCTTGGTGAAGACGAAGTTGGTTAAGGAATTGAAGTCATTGGGTCCATTAGAACCGGAACACAGGAAGAAGAGGAAAGAGGTTAAAGGAAATCTGCCTAGTGGGGGTGGCTCCCCATTGATTATTTAATGAACTATTTGGTTTTTTGGAATTGCAGGGGGGCCAGGAAAAAAGAGGCTTCCTTGTATCTCAAGGAAATTATTAGAGATCATGATGTTTGTTTTGTTGGTTTAATGGAGACCAAATTGTCTAGCTTTAGTAGAAGTGATGCATATTTCTTTATTGGGAAGGATTGGGACTTCTTCCACTTTCCAGCTGTTGGCATGGCTGGGGGTATTATGGTTTTGTGGAACAGGAAAATTGTGTCCTTTGTAGTTGAGAAGAGTTCTTCTCAGGTGGTGGTAGGTTCTCTATCCACACCTACTCTGGGAATTTGGAAGGTGGGTACGGTTTATGGTAGCAGGAGTCATAATGAAAGAAGTAGCTTATGGAACCTTTTGGAATCGTGCTTGGTAGATTCGGGTCCTGCCATTGTGGGGGGGGGGGGGCCTTTAATTGATTTCAATTGCATTTTGAACAAGGAAGAGAAGAAGGGGGGCAAGCGATTCTTATTCTCTAAAGGACCAAGGGAGATGAGGGATTTTTTGACTAATGTTGATTTTCATGTTGTAGGTTTTGTTGGGCCAAGTTTTACTTGGTGCAACAATAAGATGGGCTCTTCCAGAATTTGGGAGAGGCTTGATCGATGTCTACTTAACTCTGCTGCTTTACATTTGGTTCCATTTGTGAAAGTGCAGCATCTTGCACGGGTGGCTTCAGACCACTGTCCAATTTTTTTTAATCTGGATGGGAAGAAGACTTTTAGGAGTAAGGCTATTAGATTTGAAGACAGTTGGAGATCCTATTCGGCGGCTTGGAGTATTGTCAAGATTTCATGGCAGAAGACTGACTTTGGTGAGGTGGAAGAAGTGCTTAATAGGAAGCTTAAGAGGACTTTGAGAGCCCTTTTTTTCTAGAACATAAGTAAATGCAGAGACTTGGAAAAGCTGAAAGAACAGTTAAAGAAAGAGATATTGAAATTACAAGCTAGGGAGGCTTCGGGTGTTGATTTTTCATGCAATGATCTATTCATACTTAGACAAAAGGTCCATGAGCTGAATATGACCTTAAGGAGGCTTGCTGTATGGTGGAATCAGAGAGCGAAATTAAGATGGTTCGAGGAAAGGGATTTGAACTCAAATTTTTTCCATAATTTTGCATCTGGCCGAAGGAATGCAAATTGGATTGGACAAATAAAGGATGCTAACAATAAAATGGTGGTGGAGGATGATCAGATTGAACAAGTTTTTTTGCATTTCTTTGAAGAAAAGTGGAAATTCAGGAACTGTGAGTTATCTGGTTGGCCAAATCTGGATGATAATCTGAAGCTAGATGATATGGGTGCTGCTGTTATGAGTTTAGAATTCAGCTTTGATGAATGTAGAAATGTTGTCTTTCAGCAAGGAAACAATAAATCGCCAGGCCTTGATGGGGTGACTGCCTCATTCTTCAAATTTTACTGGAATCTAGTAGGTGTTACTACTTGGAATGCTATAAATAAGTTTCTTAAATATGGTAGGATGCATAAGGAATGGAAAGATACGATTATTGTGTTAATTCCTAAAATTTTGAACCCGGTATTACCGTCAAACTATAGACCTATCAGTCTTTGTCAATGTACATATAAGATAGTTGCTACAATGCTTTTCAATAGGCTGTAAATATGTTTGCCAAAGTTGATATCAGAGGAGCAGGTTGCATTCATCCCGGGTAGATCAATTACTGAACACTGTTTGTTGGCACAAGAAATTTTTAAAAAATTCAGAGTTTCCAAGAACAAGCAAGGCTTGATGGCTGCTAAATTGGATATGGAGCAAGCTTATGACAGTATGGGTTTGCCAAAGTTGAATCAGATTCTTCATTGGTATGGCTTTCCAGTTTCCTTTATTCAGATTGATTATGGAATGTGTGATGAATGCTAGATTTTCTGTTAGCTTGAATGGAAAGTATTATAAATGGATTGATGCACATTATGGTTTTAGGCAGGGCTGTCCATTATCACCATACTTATTTATTTTGTGCTCTCAGCTGTTGACGACTTGTATTGAGCAAAAGGGCCAATCTTTGGGTATCCAGGTGTCTCCTAGAGGTCCACGGATTTCTCATCTTCTGTACGCAGATGATGTTCTTCTGTTTTCCAAGGTTTCTTCTCCATTGGCTCGGTTAATGAAGTGCATCGTGAAGTCTTTTTGCGATTGGACGGGACAAAGAGTGAATGTGGATAAATCTCAAATAATCTTTGGGAAGTTTGTAAAGAGAGATGGTAAGAAGAAGGTGGCTAATATTTTGGGTTTTAAAGTGGTTAAGAAGTTGCAGTATTTGGGGGTTAAGATATCCTTGAATAGGTTGGGAATTGCTGATTTTCAAGAGCTTCTTTGTAGTATTAATGATAGATTAAATATGTGGGGAAGTAAGTCTCTTTCTTTGGGAGGAAAAATCATACTCATTAAATCATCATTACTATCACTTCCCAATTATGTTATTACTCACTCCTTGGTTCCTAAGAAGGTGATGGTGGAGGTTGAAAAATCTTGCAGGAATTTTATTGGCACAAGCAGTGTGGAAGGCATGGTCTTTACTATGTTTCTTTGGAGGATATTTGTTATCCACAGAGTGTAGGAGGTTTAGGTGTACAGTCTTTTTCTGATAAAACAGGACCTCTGCGAGCTAGAATTGCTTGGAATTTTATCCAGAAACCTGGTACCTTGTTTCACCGTGCTATGATGGCCAAGTATGGAGATAATGTTTTTTATGACAATGGAATGAAAAGCTCATCTAATGTTTGGAAAATTCTACAGGAGGGTGGAAAATTTTTGAAGCCAATCGTGAGGTGGAAGGTGGGGAATGGAGGAAGAATTTTGGTTTTGAATGACATCTGGCTTTTTGGACCGGTGTCTTAATGAGTGGCCAACCTTCTTGAACTGTGTTGGCTTGGAGAATATGTATCTTCATCAGTTTTATTCTGACTCAGGAGAGTGGGATGTAGCTAAATTAGCTATGTATTTTAATGAAGACTTGATTTGCATTATTAGAGAGGTGAAGGTGGACGTTCAACAGACTGATATGCTAGACACGATCTTTAAGCTCTCTGGTAAGTCCATTTCTGCTCTGGCATATGAAGAAGTTCTGAGAAGGAAAGGCATTTGTGATGATGATGGTTTCTTTTCGTGGCTTAAGAGTTTAAAACTCAATTATAATGTAGGAATTTTTTGGTTAAGGTTGTATAAGTTTGCTATCCCCACTAACCATTTTCTTAAGTTTCGAAGGCTGGCCAATGAAGATTGTTGTGCTAGAGGATGTCAGAGTGTGGAAAATTATGAGCATATTGTTGTTCATTGTATATTCTTACAGGAAGTGCTGGACTTTATTTGTAATTGGGGATTTTGCCTACCGGTTTTTCACTCATTGGAGGAATGCGTGTTGCAGCTAAGGGGGTGTTCCGATAGAATTCTGGGCTGGCTAGAATTTATTGTGTAGCTATTTTCTTAAATTGGAAAAACAGAAATCTTGTAAAATATGGTAAGAATGCTTTACCATGCTCTGTAACGGCTGCTAATGTTCTTTCCCTTGCTATGTTGAAGTCTTGCCTGATTCTAGTTAGCTGGGGTGCTAATCTCCCTAGGGAGTCTTCTTTTTCTTGGCGCCCTCCACCACTAGATTGGATCAAGATTAATGTGGATGCTGCTTTATTGAGCTCTAATAGAGGTGGTATTGGAGGTATTTTCAGAGATCACAGAGGGAGACTTCTTTTGGCATTTGGTAGGAAGAAAGTCCATTAGGATGTGGCTCAACTAGAGATGGAGGCTATTGTGGATTATAGAGATTTGTTACAAAGTTGGATGTTTGAAAGTAGTGGCATTATTATTGAAAGTGATAAGGTCAATGTAATTACATTCTTACAAGATTCTTTGAAGAAGGTTCATTGGAAATTGGATAGTTGGTCGGCTAAAGAGCTTCACTTCTTAAGTGACTTCAATAAGGTCATTTTACATCATGTTAATAGAGATTTTAATAAAGTAGCTAATTTTTGTGCTACTTTAGCTTTAGATGGTACTTTCAATTTTGATAGCTTTTCCTTTGGTAGCATTCCTAATTCCTTGATTGATTTAATCAAGGTTGAGATGTTACCGTTTTAGCTTGTATCTAGGCTTTCCTTTTCTCATTAATTCATTTCTTTTGCATTGTTTCAAAAAAAAAAAAAAAAACTATTCATTGAATACTTTTGACTTATGCTCTTTTCATGAGTACTAATAATTCAGGGAGATCACAAGTTACTTAGGACAATAAGAAGACTCAAAACTAGGTAGTGTAGGAGTTGGAGTCCATAACATTATACTTTTTGATTTACTATTATTTTTCATTTCTTGAGTCTGGCCACAAATTATATACAAGATTGAGCAACCATCCACACACAGGGGGAGAGGGTTTAAAAATTGAAGAAAATTTTTCTCTGTTGATTGTACTGTACGAGTTTAAATCATACTGTATAATCTGATCTGGCTGAAATTACTATCTGTGAATAAGTCATACTATATGATTCCTTTCGTATTGTATGAAGTGTTTCTAATTTAAAAAACCCTAGCCTTCAGAGTAATTTAAGGATGTTTAATAACTAATCATACTGTATAATGTAAGTCATATTATACAATCTATTTTGAATACTTACTTAAATTAACCCTGAGATTAGTGCATAAATCAAGGATCAATTTCTGATTGGTTATCGTACTGTATGACATCGTTCGTACTATACGATCAACGGAGGCTATTTTTTATTGTCCCAATTTTCGTACTGGACAATCCCTTTATTTTGACTACTCGTACTGTATGATGTGGTTCATACCCTAAAAAGTACAGAGACGAGTTTTATCATCCTAATAATCATACTATACGAATAAAAGGATTTTACATATTGTGTTGTATGTATATTTATCATACTATATGATTGTATTCATAATTTTTTGCCTGATTGAAAACCTTCTTACCAAGATGATGGCCATTTTATACTAATTATACTATATGATATTGTATCGTACTGTATGATAATAACGACTAATTTGAAAAATTTAGGGTTTCTTGGAGCGTGTTTAAATATAAAAACTTTTTTTT